CTAGTCGAGTTTTCTTTCGTTTATATTTAGATATCGTATGTATAAAAAGTGTCAGAGTACAGGATTTCCAAGTCTGATTACCATATTCTCTGCTCCAAATTATCTTGATGTGTACAACAATAAGGCTGCAATTCTTAAATATGAAAACAACGTGATGAATATTCGTCAGTTTAACTGTTCGCCTCATCCTTATTGGTTGCCAAATTTTATGGATGTATTTACATGGAGTTTACCGTTTGTTGGTGAAAAGGGTTAGTTTTAATTTTTCTAGAAAAATCAAGTTTTCGAGATATTCTTTTTTTTTTTGTTCTCTTTAGTTACGGAAATGCTTGCTAATGTTCTTAATATTTGTTCGGATGAAGAATTAGAAAATGATGGTACAACAACTGAAGAAGGTATGTATATGTTTTTATTGAAACGTAGAGATGATAGTAGTAAAGTTTCATTTGGGGAATATATTTAATATGTCTATTCATTCATTCATTCATTCTTTTTCTTGTTTTAGTCGATGCATTGAGTGAAGGTAAGTGTTGATAGAAGAATTCTTTAAAGAATAATATATTTATTTATTGATTTTCTTTCATTATCTAGCCGCATTAGCTGCCCGTAAAGAAGTGATACGCAATAAAGTACGAGCTGTTGGTAAAATGGTTCGTTATTTTGCAACATTAAGGTCAGTTATTATTATGATTTCAACTAGCAGACAATATAATTCCTTATATTACGTTTGCTTTACCCTTCTTACAGAGAACAAAGCGAAGATATCTTAACATTGAAAGGACTTACATCAGGTGGAACATTACCATTAGGTACTCTTGAAGGTGGAAAAACAGCTATTGAACAAGGTAAAATTAATCTTTCATTTTTTCTTTTTTCTATCCTTAAATATCGTCTATTCTTTATGTTATTTTTAGCTAAACAATTAATTTCTAATAAGAAACGCATATCATTTGAAGAAGCGAAACGCTTAGATAAAAGTAATGAAAGTATGCCACCATGGCAACAACTTCATCCATCATCATCCGGAGTTACGTCTGGTGTTGGCTCAGGTGGTACCGCATCGCCAAATATTGGTTCATCGTCATCACGTATTGTGGGTACATCAACATTTTCTTCCTCTGTTTCATCAACATCCTCGTCACCTGTTAATACATTAGCTGATGCATCATCAGGTGTGACAACCAATTTATTGATCGATTCAACAAATACGAATTGTAATGGAAATGGTAATAATAGAACATCAGGACGAACAGGAAATGAATCATCGTCGAAAAATCCTTATCGAACCAAGTGAAGATAAATTATTTTTCAAAATAAAAACAAAAATCTATAGTCTTCTTTTCTATTGAACATTAAAAGAATATTTTAACGTGAATTGTATGCATTCACTGATATAAATACATTTATGAGTGAAAATGGATCTATTGATCAATAATTCTATTTTCATGTTTCGTTTTTTTTCTTTTTCTTTTTTTGTATAAAGTCGGCTGACCTTTCTCTGTCTCCTATTTCTTCGTTCACATGCGCATGTTTAACTCTTTTCGTGATAAGCCATAAAAAAATAAGAAACCTTAATATATATATATTCTATTGTCGTCAGTGCAGTGAATGAGAAATAATGGGGGGGCAAAAAGTTACTGTTGTATGTCAGCAATATTTCTCTTCGCGATACTGTTTTGCGTCCGAAGTGTTTTTCTGAATGATAATGATGATGATGACCATCGCTGATCGACGGATCATGTTTTTCTTTTGCTATTTGTATTTGTTTGTCTAATATTGTGAGCGATGATATTCCTTTTCTAATTTGCCTTTGTCTGTCTTTTTTCCTGTGGTCAAAACTAAAGCAGTATGACGACAATAACTAAAAACAAAAACCTACGATGAGTTTATTCAAAGAAGTAAAAGTTCATTTTTCTTTTCATGTGACACTCGCGATAATAATATCGATGTTTTCATCAATGAACTAAATCTTAATTTTTAATCATTCCTTTGTTTTATCTAAAAAAATATTAAAAAATGGCATTGAAAAAAACAACTCTTTTTTCTTTTCTTTTTATCAAAAATTTGGTTCTAGCGAGAATGATTACCGTAAAACTTTTACGATAAAAACATTATTTATTTATGTGCATGCAAGAAGAAAATAGTCAATCATCTGACGGACGAGAAATTCACTAATACGAATAGGTCGTTTAGCAATCATATTTCGAAATTATATATCTGTATGCTTCAACAAATAAGTTAATCCATTCTGGCACCAATGTTGCGTATCGTCAATAGCCTAATGCGTTATTTCTAATCTTCTTTTTTTTTGTTATGAATATATGAAAAAAAAAGAATATTCTGATTCCATAAAATGTTTTGCTATTTTGCAGGAAATGAATCAATGAATAAAACACAAACATCAGTGATGCATGTAATAACAATAGTTAAATGTCACATTTGAATGAATTATCATCGAATTGTCGAAAGCTGTTCGACTAACAAAAAAGCAAAGGTTGAGTATTGAAGTTAAATTTTATGAACGACGATAGTTGTGAGGAAAAAATAGGTTCCTATTGTATATGACGATTCTTTAGAAATATACGAACCTGATTTTTTTTCAGTCACATAAACTATCGTACGGCGATTGTCATATTGAAGTATGCTCGATAGTAATTGGTGTGTAGGCGACTCAAAATAACCTTTCATAGTACAAAAATATGGAAACAAAGAAAAATTAACATTTCTGATTCTCACGAGGCACGGAGTATTCTAGTGGCCTGCCATTATGATCTAGTTGCACGTCCAATACTAGATTTTCCATTTTCGTTATTGATAAGGATACAATAGAAACGCACTTGTCATCGATGGGAAACATGTTTTTTGTATGGTTATTTTCTCAGGAGTATTTTAGACATACATCCAATTAGCATATTGATTCGCATATAATTTTATAAATGGTAATGTTGAAAAAATTATGATTGATACTAGTTGATCTTTTCGGTTGTTCGAAATGGAATCTTTTTTTAGAATTATGCAAATATTTGATTAGTTTTTATAAAGATTGGTATCATGAATTTCAACGGTTTCTTGTTTTTACTATTTTTGCAAAAAAAAGAAGAAGAAGTTAGTTCTATGGTATCTAAATGTCAAGTATTTGCGATGAATAATTCAATACTTTGTTTTTCATAGTCGTTTTTTAAATGCAGATTAGTGGTGGGATAGTTAGTTCATGTGAAAACTTAGAAATATAAGTTTTACTCTTGCTACAATCTCATATGAAAAGATTAATGGCATATATACGATTGAATTCTGATGATTAATTTGCTTTATGTATTCGAGATAAAAATAATCCACTTGACAGAAAATATTCCTTTTGAAATGCAATCTAGTCTATGTTTATTCAAATCAGTGTTTCATCTAGATTTTATTTTTCGGGTGGGCGGTTGAAGTTTTTGGAGGGGCTGCTGCTGGCTAGAAGATTTGTTATCATATAGTAACGGGTGGCCCTTAAAGAATGGTGGTCTCATTATTTACTCAATATCGTTTTTGCTCTTCATTGATTTGAACTGAACATTTTCCCAAAAGAGTGAGCATTCAATTCTCTACAAACTCACGTGTAAAAGATGTTTTAAACTACAAAATGGCTAGGTACTAAAACGAAGAAAAAAGGTCGAAAAATCTCCAACTTTCAAGCACTAAATCCGCTTTTTTTTGAAAATTTGCGTTCCATGTGAGGATCTACAAAAAACTCAGTCTACCATGTTAAAGAGCATCAGATTTTGAACAAGATTCATGTCTTCGAATTTTTTTTTCATTACAAAATGAGTAAAAAATTCTACATCAATTTTTTCGCTTTTTCTGAAAAACACAACTGTCATGTCATGCTTTTGATGCTTGCACTAGAACGCATGCCATTCACTTAAAAACTGTTATTTTTTGACGATTTTGTTTTCTTTGAAAGCCAACATACTCGACTACACCCCTGTACACTTGTTCCAGTGATGCAAAGTTTCGTTTGCAGTAGACTTTCTTGTAAACCGAAATTAAGGCGTTATGGACGAGTTTTTAGAAAATATCGATTTAATAGGCGAAGACCATTTTTAAAGAAATTTTTTTCAAAGATATCGAAAAGAGCGTACTTGAAAATACCAGAAAATGTTTCTCCCTTAAGTTAAGTCTGCGTATAAATTATCGAAACATACTCCAAATGTTAATGTTTGTTGAGCTTGAAAGTTGAAGATTTTTTAACCTTTTTTCTTCGGTTTAGTACTTGGCCGTTTTGTAGTTTTAAAAAATCTTTTACACATGAGCTTGTAGAGAATTGAATGCTCAATCTTTTGGGAAAATGTTCAGTTCAAATCAATGAAGAGCAAAAACGACATTGAGTAAATAATAAAACCACCATTCTTTATGGGCCACCCGTTACTTTTATGAAATCAGCTGTTTATTTTCGGGTGGGCGGCGCCCACCCTGCCCATACGGTAGATAAATAACTGATTCAAATATTTGATCTTCAATGAAATACTTTTCTGTTGCTAATGAAAGAGTACTTAATAGATGTGTTCACAACAAGAAATATTGCACTGATACGTAGCAATTGTTTTGTAAAATACGAAATCACCATGACCCATGTTGAGTTTCAAAAGGAATTTTAACTTCAATATAAAGCAAGTCTAATAATGAAAAGTCACTAAAGTACAAAAACAAATCTAGGTAATGTGCCTAATATTTAATTTCAAAAATTGTAGTCACCTATGCAAGGAAAACTAACTTTCCATATCTAAAAATTTGCATTTAAAAGTAAAATTTTCTCCGGCAAGAAAAGTGTTTTTCTTATTTTTTTCAACGTCAGAGTAGGAATAAATGAAGTTAATGAGATTTTCATGTTGATGCTAAACACTTCTAAAACAAAGAACATCTAACTTAGAAAAAAGAAGAAATTTTCTTCTTCTGCACATGATCGAATATAGAAGAACATTTATGTAATTATATTTCTTTTTTCTGTCATTTTACATCAAATGAATATGCGAATTAAATTCTCAAATTTTTTTTTACCATTATTTGGAATACTTATAATGACTACAATGATTGCAATTTGTTCTTGGAAAATAATCTTTCGTATTCATCGGCCGATTTATCCACGTAGAAATCCGCAAGTTGCATCTATAGCTCAAGGCTATCCTCAACAACCACCTTATCAAACATTATGGACATCATCACCACCACCACAATTAGTTGAATCACCACCACCTTCTTATTGTACAGTAGTAGAAAATGGAATAGTTCCATCAGCTGAATTCTACAGGCAACAATAAAGATGCTTTCTTTTGAACTTTGAACAACAAACAATAAATGTTTTTTTATTAAAAAAAGAGTAACATCAAAACAGTGGATTTATAACGCACTTAAGTTAAACGAAAATTTATCGAACTGTCTCGGCTGTATTCGTTTCCCATGATATTGGAAAACAATCTTGTTCATGTTTTAATCGGATTTCTCTTATTTTTATGGCATTATCTAACTTGTCTTGTTCACATTTTATTATTGAGCTCATTGACGACGGTAAAACACGCACACTATCATTTGAATTATGGCAGCTTATTAAAAATTGCCATGGAAAAGGACATGTTCGGATATCAATAGGAAGTTTATTTTTACACGTTTGACGCGAATGCCATAAAGACAATGTTTGCCGCTCACAGTCAATTGTTAATTCAACAAAATCCTTTACTTTCATGTCGCCATGATATCCGTTGAGTATGGGCATCGGTTTTCCGCCCACGTAAACTTTGTTGTATCCAGCCCAACCATATGCTGATGAGTCCATAAACGCTTTTTGACCAAGTAATACATGTTTCGATATAATACCAAAGAAAATCCATTGATTAGAAGTCATATGTTCAATATGAAAGAATATTTTATGTTCACCTTGTGAATAGTCATGATATCCACCTATAGATGCATCACGCGTTGAAGAATCATGTGTAAAAAGTTGACCGTATTCAAGAATTTTAACATGATCAGAACGTATAGAAAATCTGTCATCTTTTTTTATTATTAAATTTACATTCTGATGATCTGTAGGTAAAAGCGAATTATTCGTTTTGTGTTGTTGATTCGTAGTAGAGGTACGACGAGATGATGGTTCATGCAAATCAGTAGAGTTTTTTAACGGAACTAAACCAAAAGAACCTTCATGATTTTGTGATTCTGGACTATTCGAATGGTTTTCATCTAGTGAGTCAGGTTGAATTCTAATGATTGGCATTACAACAGGTTTACTTCCATGAACACGTACTGTAAAAGTGGGCTGCGTAAAAAAGTCATGCTTCAGACTATGTAAATCTGTTGCCCATTGTTTTATATTTCTTTCATCAAAATTATGATCATGATTACTATTATTATGGCTTAATGCTTGTAATTTTTCTGTTAACATTTTTAATTTTGCTTTCACACCATTGATACGATGTTTTATGGCATCGATAAGTGCTAATCGGGCTTCGGCCGCTATTTTTCGAATATTTCCTATGGATTCTTCTTCCCATTTATCAATAATTTGTCTTGATGAATAATTTCTTTCGGCGATCGATGCATCGTCATTAAGTGTACAAACAAAATCGTCGTGGTCAACAGTTAGCCAATCAAGTTGTTCATATAATGACTGTCGATGTTCGTATGCATGTTGTTGACAAAATATTCTATTGCAGCCATTACAATAAAAACCAGCAAGTTCTTGACATGTATTACAGTATTTGACTATTGACGCGTCCATATGAGAGGCGTAAAACTATGTGTAATGTTTTCGGTATGTTTGTAGTTGTAACAATGTGTAAGTATTGTAGTCGCGTATTAAAATCTGTTTTGACTGCTTTTTTCTTCCTATAAGTGGGCAGACATTGAAATAGTAAAAAAAGAAAGAAAGAAATAACAGACAAAAATCAGTAAAAACGAATAATTTAGCAATTAAACAAACGTGCGATGCAGAAGATTAACTGAAATACTCGCTGGTAAGTAGTCCTATGAAAAGTTAACTGCAGAAACAAAAGAAAACTAATATTAATTAAAATTTGTTCTCATCGATTTGGATAAAGAACTGGTAGTAGCTCATTAGAATAATTTAGAGAGAGAGAGAGAATTTTAAAATGCTCTCGTGTTGCATAAGAAAGCCTATGAAACTTAATAAAGAAACACGAACATGATAGAATTATGTTTTTTTTTCAATACAACAACTTATATAACACTTTCCATGATGTTGAAACGTTCCTACGTAGAAAAACAAAAGCAAAACAAAACAAAACATCATTCGAATGTAACTATAGTGCATATTTACTTGGGTTTATATTGTCAACGACTGTTTTACATAGTGAAGGTAAGATAACTCTCTGATTATCATACAAATGAAGTCATACTCAACATAATTGAATATTGTAAGTCAATTTTAACTATACTAAATAAATATGCTACGAAGGCAATTTATGATGAGTACAAAATTCAATACAGAGAGAGAGAGAGAAAGAGAGAATTACTTTGAGAAGATACGAATCGAGCTAATCTATTGACTTTTGACAACGCCTGCATAACTTTTATAGTACCGATTTACTGGCTTGATCATTTTCCAACATTTTTCTCAAGATTTTAATATACAAATTTATCCGTACTGAAAGTGCATTTATATAGGAAACAATTAAAAAAGTAACTTTTTATAGTGTCAAATAATTTTTTAAGAATTAAGTTTTTTCAATGTACATATTATTTTTGTCACCGCATACGGTATTCGAGAATTTACATATGCATGTACTCCTATATACTTTGAGGTACTTACGCATTAGCCATATTTATTACTTTTTTTTCCTTTTTTTTTCATTATTTCGCCTCTCTTTTTTTAGTCAAAATAATCATCCACTTGATAATGGGTAAATACCATAGACATCGCCTTTCTGTAACGAAAAAACAACAAATTAAAGAACAATAGCTTCGGTGAATCGATTACAGCGATGCAAATATTGCTCATAGTATGACCGCGTCGAAAAGGGAATTGGCTGACGTCATTTGACCATGCGTCAATAAAAACCTCTATGATCAAATCAATATTTGTTATTTAGTGGCATACAGCGAGCATATTATTAGAAGATAAGAAAATGACTTGATCATCTATCATTTTGCCAATACTACGTTTTCATCGATTCTATTAATAAAATTTTATCAAAAGGCATAATGTCGAATACATCAAAGCATAAGTAAAAACGAGAAAGTAACAGAAGGTATGTTATAATGAAAGAGAACAAACATCACATTGAAATGAAGAAGAAAAAAAGAAAGACGCAATAAAAAGTAGAATAGACACAACACATTGACTGTTATATATAAACATATAATGGCTATTATAGAGAGCTAGGTTAGAGTCATTTTATTAGAATTTTTTCTATAAGTTATGGCTGTATCATTTTAAAATTTACAGGTAAACATTTTCATTTATTCTTAACATATGGAAAGCGGTATTTTTCTCGGAATAGCTCAAGTAGTATGGCTTCTTCTACATCGTTATACACATATTAGTTAGGATAAAAACAGTAGAGATGTGTTCGATAGTTAATATTTAATCTATTACAAATGAGTTTTCATCAATCAATGTGCTTAAAACTAGCAAATATATTTTTTCTCTCTTTAAATTGGATAAGGTTAAAAAATATCTGAATTAATATTTAAACAAGTTAAACCTTAGATAAAAATATCCGAATTTTATATCTTAAAAACTTAAACTTTCTTTGTGCACGAATAAATCTCTTTTTCTCTATGCATATTAACTATATAAGCGAAAAAAAAACAATCCATTACACGATCACCTTTGATTCGTTTCTTCCAGTATAAACTACTAAAAAATACAAGGCATTAACGATATTCACATAACATATCGATTAAATGGCACAGCGAAATACAATGTCTACACGCGATGAATCCACTTCAACCAACCAACAAACTTCATCGTAAATCAATATAATGTTGTCTGTGTTTTAAAACAACTATAAATTTTTCTTTTATTAATAGAGCGCGATATCAGAGCTCATTTTCTCAACCAACACCTTCAACTATATCAAATGAAGAAAAATCAAATCGTCGTCGTCGTTTAACGTTACCAGTACCATTAAGCAACAATTCTTCTTTAAGTGAAGCAGAACGTTATATTAGTTTGAAATCTCAAATGTTAGCGAGTCCAAATGAGCAAACTGCCATTTCGCCAGAAACTCCATCAAGTAAACACAGTGGTATCAGTCCCATGCAATGTCCACCAAGTCATAATGAACGTATGAAACAATGGTATCAAGAGCAAGCATATAACATAGCTAAAAAAGAAAAACATCGATACGTATATGGACCACCTTTATCGTCACCAGCTCGGACGCCAACTTCACTGTTTGAATCATTGTTTTCTACGTCATACTCCAAGCCAATTATTGCGAATCGAAAAAAATGATTTATAATCGACTAATTTCAAAGCTCACACAGTAAAAAGTATCCGACGATACAACTATAAAAGATTTACTAATGCTGAGAGAAATAGTTGAAGGGTGTCTTTCAAAACAAAAACAAATGTATTCTGTTAATTTTAGTAAATCAAATAAAAACCTTTTTATTCAAAGAACAACTGGAAAAAAAACATGAGTCCTTAAATAAATATAATGAATAACATACCTAAAACTAGCGATTTGTACCGTAAGTAAATTGTCATCATAAAGTTATCTTGCCTTAGAATAGTGTTTGTTTCATACATCACCAATAAATAAATCACGCTACCAATGGCCTTTCTTCCGCCCACTGTTATGATCATCTGTTCTTTCTCATCTACTGTGTTTAGAATGAGAATGATTTGATTTGAAACGATAGCTTGCACATTTATCTATCAATATCAACAAAAAATTGAAAGTAACATTTTATAATCGACCGATATCTACTTTTGTAGGCCTACGCTATTATTGTGGTTTGCTATTGACCTCGTCAAGATTTGTTCTGAATGAGGATATATGCGATATTTATTTTAATTCTCAAAATTTCATATGAAAAAATGTTTTACATAAAGCAATATTTGAATTGTAGTGAAAATTTCACGCATTCTCTCGACGACATATTTCAACCCGAAAACAATCTTAAACAGTGATGTGCAATATTGAAGTGAACTCCACCATGCTTTTATTTACTTGACTTAACTAAATCCATAGTGAACAATCTAAATAACTGTTGATATTATCGTAGTATGATACAAGCAGATTTTTTTGTCCATACACAGATTTTTCAAGATAATTCAAGACTACGTTTCATCGTAGGTGTTTTTCATAGTTTGAAGACTTAGAGATGCTTCTCTTTACAGGCAATTTTCTACGACGATAAGATACGAATAGGAGATAAGGATAGATAGGCATACGTGTGCTCCGTGTTAACGGGTGATTGCTACAACAGATCAACTTTTTCTTTATTTTGTAAAGAATAACATGATACATATAAACGAACTAGGAAAATATCTAAAGCTACTGAGTGAGGGGGAAAAGAACGTTGATATGAAAAATACCTATGCTGCATCAGTATGAAAAGAAAAAGTACTGACACATGTATATCGTATGTATCACCCATGCGCAATAGTCGAACAGAAGAAAGAGAAAATACCAAATATATCTGATTCCCACTATAAAAACTCATCACGAACACAACCAAACATTAAGAGTTTGTCCTTGTACTTTATTTCAACTTAATTGACTTGCGTATTCAACCGAAAATCACATTTTTCACAATTTTCTGATTTTGATGCAATACATGCCGAGGGGAAAAACGAAAGAAGCGATTGCACTTTTTCAGTCGAAGATGAGGGTTTTTATGAAATGCTTTTTTATCGTGCTTTTGAATTGATGCGTCCTATTGTCATGATTCGAGATTGGTATATACCTTTTGCCAATGCCTTTCTCATTAGAATTCGATAAATATTAATTGCACGCCATTATTAGCGTTTCCATGTAAAAATAAATCGCGAAAAATCTGATTAAATTTGATTTTGTTCGGAAAATCGATTAAAACAACTAATATTAGATTACTTTCCCATAAATAATCAATTAAAACCGATTTTCATGTGCAATAATCAATTAAAATCCATTCTAATCAGAAAAATCTAGATAATCGGCCAGAAATTAAATCGATTTAAATCAGTTCCTAGAATAATCCATTAAAATCCACTCTAATCAGAAAAATCTAAATAATCGGCCAGAAATTAAATCGATTTAAATCAGTTCCTAGAATAATCCATTAAAATCCACTCTAATCAGAAAAATC